GGGGTGGGTGAGTTTTGGGTTCCTTGTTACCTGTAGTCTGTGCTCCTGGTCTGCTGCTGCCTGCCAGGCACTGCCGCAGACCCTCGGCCAGACCTCCCCATGCTTCACCAGTAAGTAAGAACATCTGGGGGAAAGTATTTTGTGGTGTTTGTCTCATGAAGCTTAGCTTAAAGGCTGTCCTTTCCCCCTCCTCCTTCTCTTGCAAGAATGGGGCAGGGGTTGGTTTTGAGTTACTTAAATGCTTTACAACAATGTCCTTTAATCTAAAGTTCAAGGAAAAGATTTGGTGGAGATCAGTCAATGAATTTCAATGTGGCAGCTGCCTTAATGTCCAGTTTAAAAAAAGTGGGTAGTGGATTCCTATTTCTATTCTTGCTCTCCCAAACCTACAGAGATTCCCCTGCTGCCAAAGGGTGGATCTGCTCTGTTCTCCAACAATAAAAAGCAGATGATTTTCCCTCTTAAAATATCCAAAGGGGATTGCTAATGCAGATCCTCTTCGCTGAGTGCCCATCCTAGTGTGCCCAGTCAAATCCCATCCCTTCTAGCAGTGTGGAAAGGCTAATCCCTGGCATGAAGGCGCCCAGATTAACCCACAGCAGGATTAAGGTGCTTGAGCTGTTGTCAGAAGATTAGTACATTTGGGTCTCAACCTTTGCAGAACTTGGCCTGGAAATGATTGATTACCTATGAGGTGGCTGACTCTTGGATGCCAGTTTGGAAAGGTCTGGAGCTAAAGTAGGCGGCTGTAAAGATTAAATGGGAGCATTGGGCATGCAGAATGCATTTTGGATTTGGACCAGTCATTGCTGCTGATGGGGACAAAGGGCTTTGGCCATCAGGTCCAGAGTTGCTGAAGCTGCTGCTTCACTGGGGAGGTGTTTGGGGTAGCTGGTGGCTCTCTGCCCACGCAGTGTGTGTCAGGGGACAGAGTTCCTGCCCTGACCCGGACACCCCTGCTGGTGGCTGCGTCTGGGACAAGGACCCACGTTGGTCGCTCTCTTGCATCTGCATTTGGGACTCACACAGAGCTGCTTTTCAGGTCTGCATGTGTGCATCATCCTTCAGTGTTAAAAGCCTCCCCTTTTCATAGGCTATTTTATTTTCAGTTGCTTGGTTGGAAGCAAATATGGATTCAACAGGATGACTGTGAGCCAGCAATGTGCCCTTGTGGCCAAGAAGGCCAATGGCATCCTGGGGGGCATCAGGAAGAGTGTGAGCAGCAGGTGGAGAGAGGTCATCCTGCCCCTCTGCTCTGCCCTGGAGAGGCCCCATCTGGAGCACTGGGTCCAGTTCTGGGCTCCCCAGTTCCAGAAGGACAGGGAACTGCTGGAGAGGGGACAGCAGAGGACCATAAAGATAATTAGGGGACTAGAACATCTGTCTTGTGAGGAAAGGCTGAGGGACTTGATCCTTTTTAGTCTGGAGAAGAGAGGAATGAGGGAGGATCTGATCAATGCCTATAACTACTTAAAAGGTGGCTGTCAAGAGGACAGGGCCACTCTCTTTTCAGTGGTGCCCAGTGACAGGAAAAGAGGTAATGGGCACAAACTTGAAGATAGGAAGTTCCATCTAAACATGAGGAGGAACTTTTTTACTTTGAGGGTACCAGAGCACTGGACCAAGCTGCCCAGGGAGGTGGTGGAGTCTTCATCTCTGGAGACATTCCAAACCCGCCTGGACATGTTTCTGTGCAACCTGCTCTGGGCAGACCTGCTTTGGTATGGGGTTGGACTAGATGATCTCCAGAGGTCCCTTCCAAGCCCATATCATTCTGTGGTAACCACTACCCTGGCACTAGTTTTGTTCAACTACTTCTGCTGGTCTCCAGATAAGAGATAAACAACTCTGTCCTAGGTGACATTAGGGTCTTCCTTGGTGCCTGTGAAATGGCTTTTCTGGAGCTTTCTGCTAATGACATTATGTGCCGTTAAGTGGGTGAGATGCCCACAGATGAACTTGCCTCATTTCCTGCACAGTGCAGGAAATGAGTTTATTTGGGGGGGGCAGGGCCTCCAGAGTTGTACCTTGAGGTAGAAAGGAATTAGTGCTTCCACTTTCAGTACTGGGACACAAACTATCTCTGCTCATAATGTCTTATTTCGACCAGGAGAATTTGTGGGTTTTTTGTTTTGTTTTGTTTTGTGTTCTGTTTGTGTTTTTCTTTAAATCTTCCTCTTGTCAGCAGGGCATTAATTCCAGTGCAAAGGCTGCTTGTGCCAGCTCAGCACCTTGTAAATGCTGAGACTGCATGGGGGAGTGACAGCAGAGCTGCAGCCCCATTGCAACCAGTCCCAGAACTGCCTGTGAACTGGTGCACCGCGGTGCTGCAGGGAGTTTGCATGGGGAAGGATGGGCATGGTAGGCCTCTTCTTGAAAAGCAACTTTCTTTCCTATGGAAAATTACAAATGAGAACTCTAAAGATAGACCCAGTTGTGAAATTGGTTCCAGTGATTTCATTGATACTGAGCATCTTGATTTCAAGACACATCCTTTTGTGGATGTGGATGGCATCATGCTCCCCTTTGTGCATGCAAATATTAAGAGCCATGTCTTGGCTGAAATGTATATAATTGCATTTGCCACTTCCTGAAAATAACATTTCTCTTCCTCAACAGGCCAGCAAGGATATTCAACTGAAACCCATGTGGAAGACGTAAGTCTAAAAGTCCTTTCAGTGAAGGATACACTAGAAAGGTAGGGCTTTTACACCAATGCTTGCTTTGAGTTTGACACTGGTGTGTCCTGGGGCTGTAGTTGGACCGAGCATTCCCACTTCTGGCAATGCTGTGGAGCACAAGCTCCAACACTTTTGTTTTTTAACACATTTATAGGCACTAAGTACATTCCTCTGTGCTCTACAAACACAGTTTGGGGTAATTTCTGTAGAGCTGCATGATAAAAATTGAATATTTTATGCAAGCCCTGTGTTGTGAGCTATTCTGAAAAAAAATAAATTTTGAAACCCAGAATGTGGTCTTAAAGCTTCTGCCTGGCTTACTGTGGCAAGAGGACAAGGGAACCGCTATGGTGGCACTGCCTCCAGTTTTCTCACTGCAACAAGAGAGATGGATATGTAATAAAATATAAATTACCAGCAAGAAGGTGGGACAGCAAAGTACACATTGGTTCTCCCACTTGGCCAGTGTTTCCTGCAAGGAGAACTTGCCCTTGATTTAGATCCGTGTGGACCTAGCTGATCAGACTCTCTGAGTAAAAACATACCTGCATACTATATATAAAGTGGACCATATACAATAGGACATTGTGCAGTGTGGAAAAAGTGCATTGTAGATTTTAATACAGTAGGAAGAGAGGGTTGTATGATGTAAGTGATGGTTCTGCTTGGATTTCAGCCCATACTTGCTGTAACAGTGCTTTTAAATGTGTGACCTGGATGAAGACAGCCTCTAGGACATGGGGGGAGCCCCTGCGTACACGTTCTGAGGGATACAGAGTGGGGCAAAAATGAGGGAGAGAAAGATGCCAATGCCACCACACTGTGAGCTTGGGTCTTGGTTTCTGTCGAGGACCACGTTAGCTGTGAGCAGTTCTCGTTTGAGATCAGCATGTGGAGCATCATGTATTGTCTTGCTGGTAGGAAATAATTGCACTTAAGCATGATTCCCCATTGGAATACCTTCAAAGGGTGGACCTCATGTGCCCTGCCCTTCCCCACAGCTGGCAAATCTGTGTTCAGGTGGGCTTTGTCCCCCTGCCCCAAAGGCCCAGGAGGATAAGGGTTAGTCTGTTCACCACCTATGGTTCACATGGGGGAGTCCCCAGCGAGACTGTCCCCTTCGTTGGGCACTCTAGTCGCACAAGATAATATTGTGATGCTGAAGCATTTTTTTTTAAATTGGTCATAATGGTTTAAATTTGAGGGGAAAGAAGCAGAAACAGGAAAGGAAAGGAGTGGATCTGGTGATTCAGAGATGCAGGTGAAGACTGATGAGCTGGTGGGGCTTGCTCTGCTTCCATGGGACTGGCTTGCAGTGGGAACAGGAGCCTTTTCTGTATCCAAGCAAAAACTTGGCTATTGAATATGCTCGAATCAATCTCAAAAAAACCTCCAAACCGATAATAAACAACACAAAAAAAAAAACCAAAACCAACACCAAAACAAACACCCCCCCCACCCCCACACCCCCCCCCCAAA